CCAAGGTCGGGGATTCTGGGTGATGGAGTCCCAGGAGGGGGGAGAAGAGGGAGAGGGGTACTGAGGAGGGAGGTAGAAAGGAAAGAAGGAAGGAAGGAAGGAAAAAAAGGAAGGGAGGAAAGAAGGAAGGGGAAAAAGGAAAGAAGGAAGGAAGGAAAAAAGAAAGGGAGGGAGGAGGGAAGGAAAAAAGAATAGAATAATGGTTTTATTTATTTATTTGGCAGTTTTGTATACCGGTCTTCTCACCTCCATTCGAGGGACTCGGGCCGGTTTCCAACATCAATATTACAGACAGTCATTAAAACATCATATTTCTAAATCACACTAAAACATTAAAACATGAAACAAAATGGCAGAAATACAATCATAGACTCCATATCTGCCTGGGTGTGGGCCTGAGGAAGGAAGGAAGGAAAAAAGGAAGGAAGGTAAAAAGGACGGACGGGACGAAGGTAGGAAGGAAGGAAGGGAAAAAATAAAGGAAGGAAGGAAGGAAAAAAGAAAGGGAGGGAGGAGGGAAGGAAGGGAAAAAAGGGAGAAGGGAAGGAAGGGGAAAAAGGAAGGAATGAAGGAAAGAAGGAAGGGGGAAAAAGAAAGGGAGGGAGGGAGGAAAGAAGAAGGAGGAAAGAAAGAAGGAAGGAAGGAAGGAAGGAAAAAAAGAAAGGAAGGGAAAAAGGAAGGACGGGACGAAGGAAGGAAGGAAGGAAGGAAGGAAGGAAGGAAGGAAGGAAGGGAAAAAATAAAGGAAGGAAGGAAAAGAAGAGGAGGAGGGAATGAAGGAAGGAAGGAAAAAAGAAAGGGAGGGAGGAGGGAAGGAAGGAAGGAAAAAAGGGAGGAGGGAAGGAAGGGGAAAAAGGAAGGAATGAAGGAAAGAAGGAAGGGGGAAAAGAAAGGGAGGGAGGAGGAAAGAAGAGGAAGGGAAGAAAAGAAAGGAAGGAAGGAAGGAAGGAAAGAAAGAAGTAGGAAGGAAAAAAAGAAAGAAGGAAAGAAAGAGAAAAGAAAAAGGAAGGAAGGAGGAGAAGGAAGGAAGAAGGAAGGAAGGAAGGAAGGAAGGAAGGAAGGAAGGAAAAAAAAAGGAAGAAGGAAGAGAGGAGGAGGGGAAGGAAGAGAAAAAAGAAAGAGGGGAGGAGGGAGGAAGGAAGGAAGGAGGAGGAAGGAAGGAAAAAAGGAAGGAAGAAGGAAGAAGGAAGGGGAAAAGAAAGGGAGGGAGGGAGGAAGAAGAAGGAAGGAAGGAAAGAAAGAAGAGGAAGGAAGGAAGGAAGGAAAAAAGGAAGGGAAGGGAAAAAGGAAGGAGGGAGAAGGAGGAAGAAGAAGAAGGAAGGAAGGGAAGGAGGAAGGAAGGAAGGAAGGAAGGAAGGAAGGAAGGAAAAAGGAAGGAAGAAGGAGAAGAAGGAAGGGGAAAAAGAAAGGGAGGGAGGAGGGAAGGAAGGAAGGAAAAAAGGGAGGAAGGAAGGAAGGGGAAAAAGGGAGGGAGGGAGGGAGGAAAGAAGAAGGAAAGAAGGAAGGAAAAAAAGGGAGGAGGGAAGGAAGGAAGGAAGGAAAAAAGAAAGGGAGGGAGGAGGGAAGGAAAAAAGGGAGGAGGGAAGGAAGGAATGAAGGAAAGAAGGAAGGGGAAAAAGAAAGGGAGGGAGGGAGGGAGGAAAGAAGGAAGGAAAAAAGAAAGGGAGGGAGGAGGGAAGGAAGGAAGGAAGGAAAGAAGGAGGAGGGAGGAAGGGGAAAAAGGAAGGAAGAGGAAAGAAGGAAGGAAAAAGAAAGGAAGGGAAAAAGGGAGGACGGGACGAAGGTAGGAAGAAGGAAGGAAGGAGAAGGAAGGAAGGAAGGGAAGGAAGGAAGGAAAGGAAGGAAGGAAGAAGGGAAAAAGAAGAAGGAAGGAAAAGAAAAGGGAGGAGGGAAGGAAGGAAGGAAAAAGAAAGGGAGGAGGAGGGAGGAAGGAAGGAAAAAAGGAGGAGGGAAGGAAGGGAAAAGGAAGGAAGGAAGGAAAGAAGGAAGGGGAAAAAAGAAAGGAGGGAGGGAGGAAGAAGGAAGGAAGGAAGGAAAAAAGGAAGGGAGGAGGGAAGGAAGGAAGGAAGGAAAAAAGAAAGGGAGGGAGGAGGGAAGGAAAAAAGGGAGGAGGGAAGGAAGGGAAAAAGGAAGGAATGAAGGAAAGAAGGAAGGGGAAAAATAAAGGGAGGGAGGAGGGAAGGAAGAAAAAGAGGGAGGAGGGAAGGAAAACCAAACCCAAAAGCAGCCTCTTGGCTGGGTGGCTGGCTGGGTGGGTGGCTCTCTGCCTCCTCCTGTTTGGATTGTTTTGATGGCTAAGCCCCGCCTTCCTCACCGGCAGTGACGCACTTCCCTCCGAGCTCACTTCCGGAAGAAGGAGAAGGGGGTTCCACTTCCGGGCGCGCAAGGCCTGTGGCTGTGTCCCAGTCCCTCCTCTAGGAAGAGCCCACCTCCAGGCAGATGGGAAGTCTTGAACCTGGAGCTCCTTTGGTTTTGTGTGTTTCCATGCGCATTCCTTACTTCAATTCCTCCCTCCCTTTCTTCCTTCTCTCCCTCCTTCCTCTCTTTCTTCCACTCTTCCTCCCTCCCTCCCTTTCTTCCTTCTCTCCCTCCTTCCTTACTTCATTCCTCCTTCATCCTCCTTCCTTCTTTCCTCCTACCTCCCTTCCTTCCTCTTCCTCCTTTCTTCTTCTTCCTCCCTCCTCTTCTTCTCTTCCTTCCTCCTCCCTCCTTCTTCCTTCCTTCCCCTTCCTTTTCATCCTCCTTCCCTTCCTTCCTTCCTCCCTCCCTCCCTTTCTTCCTTCTCTCCCTCCTTCCTTACTTCATTCCTCCCTTCATCCCTTCCTTCCTCTCTTCCTTCTGCTCTTGCTTCCTTGCTCCCTTCCTTCATCCATTTCTTCCCTTCTCTCCCTCCCTTTCTTCCTTCTCTCCCTCCTTCCTTACTTCATTCCTCCCTTCATCTCTTCCTTCCGCTCTTCCTTCCTCCCTCCCTCCCTTTCTTCCTTCTCTCCCTCCTTCCTTACTTCATTCCTCCCTTCATCTCTTCCTTCCGCTCTTCCTTCCTCCCTCCCTCCCTTTCTTCCTTCTCTCCCTCCTTCCTTACTTCATTCCTCCCTTCATCTCTTCCTTCCGCTCTTCCTTCCTCCCTCCCTCCCTTTCTTACCTTCTCTCCCTCCTTCCTTACTTCATTCCTCCCTTCATCTCTTCCTTCCGCTCTTTCTTCCTCCCTCCCTCCCTTTCTTCCTTCTCTCCCTCCTTCCTTACTTCATTCCTCCCTTCATCCCTTCCTTCCTCTCTTTCTTCCACTCTTCCTCCCTCCCTCCCTTTCTTCCTTCTCTCCCTCCTTCCTTACTTCATTCCACACTTCATCCCTGCCTTCCTCTCTTTCTTCCACTCTTCCTTCCTTCCTCCCTTTCTTCCTTCTCTCCCTCCTTCCTTACTTCATTCCTCCCTTCATCCCTTCCTTCCTTTCTCCCTTCTTCCTCCCTTCCTTCTTCCCTTCTCTCCCTCCTTCCTTACTTCATTCCTCCCTTTATCCCTTCCTTCCCCTCTTCCTCCCTTCCTTCTTCCCTTCTCTCCCTCCTTCCTTACTTCATCCCTTCCTTCCTCTCTTTCTTCCACTCTTCCTCCCTCCCTCCCTTTCTTCCTTCTCTCCCTCCTTCCTTACTTCATTCCTCCCTTCATCCCTTCTTTCCACTCTTCCTTCCTTTCTCCCCTTCTACCTTCTCTCCCTCCCTTTCTTACTTCATTCCTCCCTTCATCTCTTCCTTCCTTGAGAACCACTGGTCTAGAGGCATTCTCTCCTGACGTTTCACCTGCATCTATGGCAAGCATCCTCAGAGGTAGTGAGGTCTGTTGGAAGTAGGAAAAGGGGTTTATATATCTGTGGAAAGACCAGGGTGGGACAAAGGACTCTTGTCTGCTGGAGCTAGGTGTGACTGTTTCAACTGACCACTTTGATTAGCATATAATGGCCTGGCAGTGCCTGTAGCAATCTTTTGTTGAGAGATGATTAGATGCCCTTGTTTGTTTCCTCTCTGTTGTTGTGCTTTTGTAATTTTAGAGGTTTTTTTTAATACTGGTAGCCAGATTTTGTTCTTTTTCATGGTTTCCTCCTTTCTGTTGAAATTGTCCAGCATTTCTGTGTCCTCAAATAATCCCTGCAGCCTCAGAAAAGTTACTGTCTGGCCTTCTAAGTAGGAGAAGGGCGTGCTTCCCATTTGAAATCCCGTGTCTGTTCCCTGCAGGATTCAAGAGTTTGTAGTTGAGAGAGGCCCAGGAACTCTCTGGCTGAGGATTAGAAAGGCCCCTCCCTGAACACCTGGCAGTGTAAGAAATCGCACACAGAGAACCTTTGGGCCCCATCCCCTTTCTACCTGAGGAGGGATTCCTCGTTTTTGGGCAAGTGTTAAAGTATTCCTCACCAGGCAATGGGCACCTTCCCTCTTCCTACAGCACTAGACTTATTCTTTATGTTCCATGAGATCTTTCTCTGTTCAACTCCTGAGAGATTTTCCTCTCATTTCTCTGGCAGGTAACTTCGGAACAAGTTCTGCGAAGAACGTCTTTTGAGAGCTTGGCCTGAGGAGTGCTGTAAGTTTAAAGTGACTTCAAGATACACAACAATGACAACAAGAAGAAATACATACATTTCAAGCTAGATACATGTGAAATGAAGGGTGTGCTGAAAAAAGAGAGGATTGGGAAGGCAATAAGAAGGCTACAGCAATACAAAATCTGTGCTATTCAGGACGTTTACATCTCTGAACCAGGGGCAAAAAGTTTGAATTCAAATATAAAAGAATGGCAAGCCCTCTACCTCCCTTTTCTAGGTCAGAAACAAGGGAGAAGTTACATCAGTGTATGGAGTGTGGAAAACAATTTGATTGGGAAAGTTCTCTTACTGTACACGAACGGACCCACACAGGGGAGAAGCCATATAAATGCATGGAATGTGGAAAAAGCTTCAGTCAGAGTGGCCATCTACGGTCCCATCTGAGGATCCACACAGGGGAGAAGCCATATCAATGCATGGAATGTGGAAAGAGCTTCAGTCGCAGTGACGGACTGTGCTCCCATCGAAGGACGCACACAGGGGAGAAGCCGTATAAATGCATAGAATGTGGAAAGAGCTTCAGTCACAGTCATACTCTACATTCCCATCTAAGGACCCACACAGGGGAGAAGCCATATAAATGCATGGGATGCGGAAAGAGCTTCAGTCACAGTCGCAATCTACGTTCCCATCAAAGGACGCACACAAGTGAGAAACCACATGAATGCATGGAATGTGGAGGGAGATTCAGTCGCAATGACAACCTACGTTCCCATCAAAGGACGCACACAGGGGAGAAGCCACATAAATGCATGGAATGTGGAGGGAGCTTCAGCCGCAGTGATATTCTACGTTCCCATCTAAGGACCCACACAGGGGAGAAACCATATAAATGCATGGAATGTGGAGAAAGCTTCAGTCAGAGTGGCAGTCTACGTTCCCATCAAAGGATCCACACAGGGGAGAAGCCATATAAATGCATGGAATGTGGAAAGAGCTTCAGTCAGAGTGGACATTTGCATTTCCATCTAAGGACCCACATAGGGGAGAAGCCACATAAATGCATGGAATGTGGAAAAAGCTTCAGTCGCAGTGGCAATCTACGTTCCCATCAAAGGACACACACAGGGGAGAAGCCACATAAATGCATGGAATGTGGAAAAAGCTTCAACCACAGTGGCAATCTACGTTCCCATCAAAGGACGCACACGGGGGATAAGCCATATAAATGCATGGAATGTGGAAAGAACTTCAGTCACTGTCAACATTGGTATCGCCATCAAAATACCCATGCAGGCAATGAGAGACAAGGACATGGAAGGGGTAAAGGGATGCTACAGGAAAGGAGAAAGCTAGAGCAGAAGGAAAACGAGGACAGCACCCAAACGGATGAAGAAAGAGAGAAAGATGATGAAGAAGTGGAATAAGAAGATGAAAAAGCGGGGGAATAGACTAAAAAATTAAGTAACATTGGGAGCAATGAAATTTGTATTTAGAAATGTAATATGTTTTTTTTTTCTTACTGGGATGGGTGAAAGGTGGGGGGTAGGGTAGGATAGAGTCGATTAAAATGCCTATACAAAACTTAAAAAATATATCTTCTAACATTAACGGTTTAAATAATTGCTATAAATGCAAGAAAGTGGTTCATTTTACTTGCAGAAAATCAAACCAGACATAGCATGTTTGGTTGAGACACCTGATTTATGAGGATAGTCACCTGTTAAAAAAAGAAAGGTTGGGCCATTTATTTACAGCATGTAACAACAAAAAGACCAATGGAGTACTGTTCTATGGCACCAGAGAAAATATTTCGTGATGAGGAAGGTAGAATATTAATAATAAAGGTGTGTATTCAAACAAAAACCTGTACTATTAGTAGGAGTGTATGCTCCCAACAACAAACAAAAAGTATTCAATAAAAAACTAACATGCATATTAGCAGAATATGGTGAAAAGGAAATGTTATGGATTGGGGATTTTAATGGAGTCATAGTGCCCAAAGAGGATAGAGATAGTAAAGTAAAAAAGGACAGGAAGAAAGGCATACTCCTGGGATCCTTCCTAAGGGAAATTCAGCATTGGGAACTTTATGATATTTGGAGGGTCCATAACCCAACAAGAAAAGAGTATTCATATTATTCACATAGACATGGTACATCCTCAAGAATTGACTTGACATTTGGCACTTAGTGGGGAAAACAGAGAAGATTGAGTTATTACTTAGACTATTAGCCGACCATAACCCGATATTATTGAAATTAAGAGTGGGATACAAAAGAAATAGAACTTGGAGAATGAATGATTACATTTTGAAAATCAAGTCACATAGGGGAAAAAATTAGAACAGGAATTATTAATTACTTAAAAGACAATGCTAAAGAAGGAATGAAGGAGGGAATAGTTTGGGAGGCTGGAAAAGCAGTAATTAGAGGGTTACTGATACAAGAAAACTCAATTTGGTTCAAAGGAAAAAATAAGGCCCAATTGGAGTTGTTGGCAAAAATTAGGACAAAAGAATTAGAAATAGAAAATGAAAAGGGAACAAAGATGAGACTACAAGGAGAATTTAAAAAACTGCACCAACAATATGAACAGCTAATTGCTAGTGAAATAGAAAGGAAAATTATGTTTAATAGATACTTTAACATTTACTTGTCTTTTCTTATGGCAGAGGTTGATCGGATATACATTAGTCCAATGTCCAAAATGTAATCGTCCATTGTTATAAATTCAATGTGCAGATTTGATAAATGTGGATTTAATATGATGTGTGGGAATGAATGGAAGGATGTATGAATTGAGTTAATAATTTTGTAAACACCAGTATAATATTAAGGCCTGCAATGACTTAACTACCTGCTTGCTGCTTTGTGATTAAACCTGTTAATGAGATCTGAAGAATAAAATCTGATAAGAACTGTGACAATTGTTCTTTCAAGTTAAGGAAATGTTTGCAATGGGGAAAAATGGGAGGAGGAAAGGAAGGAATAACGAAAGGAAGGGACGAAGGTAGGAATGAAGGAAAGAAGGAAGAAAGGGAAAAAAGGAAGGGAGGGAGGGAGGAAAGAAGAAGGAAGGAAGGAAAAGAAAGGAAGGAAGGAAAAAAGGAAGGGAGGGAGGGAGGAGGGAAGGAAGGAAGGAAAAAATGGGAGGAGGAAAGGAAGGAATAAAGAAAGGAAGGGACGAAGGTAGGAATGAAGGAAGGAAAGGAAAGGGAGGGAAGGAGAAGAAGAAGGAAGGAAAGAAGGAAGGAAGGAAGGAAAGGAAGGAAGGAAGGAAGAAAGGAAAAAATGGGAGGAGGAAAGGAAGGAATAAAGAAAGGAAGGGACGAAGGTAGGAAAGAAGGAAGAAAGGGGAAAAAGGGAGGGGGGAGGAAAGAAGAAGGAAGGAAGGAAAAGGAAGGAAGGAAGGAAAAAAGGAAGGGAGGGAGGGAGGAGGGAAGGAAGGAAAAAATGGGAGGAGGAAAGGAAGGAATAAAGAAAGGAAGGGACGAAGGTAGGAATGAAGGAAAGAAGAAAGGGAAAAAAGAAGAGGGGAGGGAGGAAAGAAGAAGAAGGAAGGAAGGAAAAAAGGAGGGAGGGAGGAAGGGAAGGAAGAGAAAAAAGGGAGGAGGAAAGGAAGGAATAAAAGGAAGGGACGAAGGTAGGAATGAAGGAAAGAGGAAAGAAAGGGAAAAGAAAAAAGGGGGGAGGGGAGGAAAGAAGGAAGGAAGGAAAGAAGGAAGGAAGGAAAAAAAGGAAGGGAGGGAGGAGGGAAGGAAAAAAGGGAGAGAAAAGGAAGGAATAAAGAAAGGAAGGGAGAAGGAGGAAGAAGGAAAGAAGAAAGAAGGGAGGAGCTGAACAGACTGCGCTCTGGCACCACGAGATGCAGAGCCAACCTCAAGAAATGGGGCTACAAAGTGGAATCCACGACATGCGAGTGCGGAGAAGAGCAAACCACAGACCACCTGCTGCAATGCAACCTGAGCCCTGCCACATGCACAATGGAGGACCTTCTTGCGGCAACACCAGAGGCACTCCAAGGGGCCAGATACTGGTCAAAGGACAATTAATCAACTACCAAACTCACACATTTTGTATTTTCTCTGTTTGTTTGCTTTGTTCTGTTAGAAATGTAATATATTTGACTGGCTGCCCTGACATGAGAAATAAAAGTGTAATTTCTCCAGTGGCGTAGGGCGCAGACACCCCGTGATAATGCGGCATGTCTCATTAAGAGCCACATCCACAGTGTGGTGAGATGTGTTCCACACTGGGCATGCATACTCAGCAGCAGAGTAGCATAGTGCAAGGTCAGATGTCTTCACTGTATCTGGTTGTGATCCCCAGGTTGTGCCAGTCAGCTTTCGTATGATATTGTTTCTAGCACCCACTTTTTGCTTGATGTTCAGGCAGTGCTTCTTGTAGGTAAGAGCATGGTCCAGAGTGACTCCCAGGTATTTGGGTGTGCTGCAATGCTCCAGTGGGATTCCTTCCCAGGTAATCCTCAGAGCTCGGGATGCTTGTCTGTGCTTGAGATGAAAAGCACATGTCTGTGTTTTAGATGGATTAGGGATCAGCTGGTTTTCCCTGTAATAGGCAGTAAGAGCACCTAGAGCTTCGGAGAGCTTCTGTTCTACCATCTCAAAGCTCTCTGCTTGAGCAGTAATGGCACAATCATCAGCATAGATGAACCTCTCTGTCCCTTCTGGCAGTAGCTGGTCATTCCCCACAGGAAGAGCTCAGGAGTCTTGGAGGGAGGTCAGATAAAGAGACCCTGGTTGTGTATACATTTGGAGAATTTGGGTTGTTTTGGGTCTTAGGCCTCCTGAGGAGGGGCCTTTCTCGGGGATTCCCAGCCTCCTCTCCTTTTGTAGTGATTTCAGTAGAGACCACATATAGTGGGGTCCATACCTGGTGAGGTTCCACTAAATCAGATTGGCCAGGACAGAACAAAATTATCCAGGTTTAAAAGCAAACAACAGAGGTTTATCACAATTTGGCCAAAATGGATGCAAGTCCCACGTTAACACTCAAAAATGTTCAAGCAAACCTTCACAAATGTTTATTCATTATGGAAAGTGAGGTGCTAAAAGCCTTTCTGTAGCCCAAAGAGGCTTTGCCTATTTCAAATTTGGCACCTTACTTTGGACAAGTTGTGCATGCCTTGCTTTCCATGGGAATCATAAACCTCTGGACACATCTGGCAAGGTAAACAGTGAAAAATAGCCCTCCTGATAAATGTTATGTCTGTGTTTCACATACAAAAGGGATTACATTTCTAGGCTTGGGAGATCGCCAGAGGGATATTTACTCATGGTACAGAAATCTGACAAGTTGTGCAGGCCTAAGTTAATGGTAATTGGTTGTTTTGCTTGGGTTTTGCCTTCCTAAGAGACAGGATGGAGTTGGAGTGGATGGTCTTTGGGGGCTCCTTCCAACCCCATCATTCTGTCATTGAGTTTTTGAAACTTATCTGAACACATCATTTCATGCATTGTAAACTTGTTTTTCCCCAACTGCACACCTGCGCATGAAATGCCAAAACAGATTTCAGGACGCTGTCAGACCCATGGGGCCCTTTATAATTATCCAAATCACGGTGATTTCGTTTTCCCTCGTCTTCTCCAAAACTCCATGGATTGCCATCCAGATCAACAGTTTAAAAATTACGGAATAGACCTGAATGCAAAACACGCTCGTTCCTTAGCCTTGAATGACAAGGAGTTCCCTGGTTGCTTCCTCCGTCCTTGGCGTGTTTTCCGTTCCTTCGAGGAGGAACTCCATCCGAGGCCATCATGTTTCATCCACTCCTCCTGTGGCTTTCCCTGCTGATCTATGCATCCCAAGGAACCACCCCAGAGTCCAGATGCCCACTGAATTTAAGGCAAGATGCCTTTGAAAGCTACAATTTCTACAAGGCGGGAGACTACCTCCTGGGGGGCATCTTGCCTGAAATGACTGCAGTCCTCTTCCCGCAATCCTTCACCTGGCCTCCGAGGATGTACCTTAAAGTGTAAGTCGTTCTGATATTAATATACAGGGGAGGCTCAAATGTTGCACTACCACTTAAGAATGGAACCACTTTTTTATACTTACTCATTGAAATAAGGTTTCTTGTAAATGCCAATAGAAACAGAATAGTTGGAAGAGCCTTGGTGGGCCATCCAGTCCAACCCCATTCTGCCAAGGAGCAGGATAATCACAGTCAAAGTATCCCCAACAGATGTTCACCCAGCCTCTGTTGAAAAGCCTCCAAAGAAGTGGGTTGTTGTGGGTTTTTTAGGGCTGTATGGCCATGATCTAGAGGCATTCTCTCCTGATGTTTCGCCTGCATCTGTGGCAAGCATCCTCAGAGGTAGTGAGGTCTGTTGGGATTAAGAAAAAGGGTTTATATATCTGTGGAATGACCAGGGTGAGACAAAGGACTCTTGTCTGCTGGAGTTAGGTGTGAATGTTTCAACTGACCACCTTGATTAGCATAAAAA